ATGGGTGAAGGAAGTGACGCCTTTTGAAATTCTTCCCGTTGCTAGTGATTCCTACTGGTTGTTGTTGTTGTTGTTTTTGGGTATAGGGTATCTCCATCACCTCTGCCTTCTCCATGTTCGCTTGTAGATGATGAGAGTCAGATAGGTTACTAGAATGGGACTACCATATTTGAAATTGCTTGTTTAATTAATATTATGGGTCATTGTAGTCATTAATAATCGTCCTGAGTTTAGCTATCGGCAAATCAATTCCATGAGAGTAGATCAAGGGTAAGTGTAGGAGGGTGTTGATCGAGATAGCCACACTTCAGAAAATCATTCAAAAAGGGAAGAACTGGAATACATTGTTCAATAAACAAAATAATTAAGTAGAGAATAGTAAAAATCTTGGAATTTGGAAAACGACAATGCATAGTTGTGCCTGGGTTCAATTTGAGCTCATGGAACTCATCAAACCAAAAGCCACCAAGGAAAGCACAAAGAAAATCGCCTTACCATATGTAAAGGACGTCTCAGAAATCACTACAAGACTCTTCAGATCTTTAGGAATTGACGTCGTACACAAACCAAGAAAGTCATTCCGCTCAATTATATGTCAAACAAAAGACTCAACAGCGAAGGAAGATAAAACCAACATCATCTACAAAATAGATTGTATCAAGTGCGAAAAACACTACATTGGCCAAAGTGGACGTCCCCTCCTCTTCGTCTTCGTATCCACGAACACAAGCTAGCTGTCAAAAGACATGATATCCACTCCCTCATATCACTACATACAGACAACCACGGACATCAATTCGACTGGGACAACCGACGTTCAAATATTAGACAGAGGAAACAACAGGAATGCTAGAGAATTTTTAGAAGCCTGCGTGGTATTTCAATGAATCATCAATCAATAGACACATCGAGATAGACAAAATTTATCAACCGATAAGAAAGAAACCTGACACACAAAGGGTCAAAGTGCAAGTCAAAGAAACAACGAGTGACAGTACAAGTATCCCAGAAGGTGTGAAAACACACAAAAACAACCAATCACGTCCAAGGTGGTCACCGACCAGGAGAGATGATTAATAAACTCGTGGAGAAATCTGAAAGCTGACTTCAAATTGAAGTATGCGCTGAAGATGTCACCCAGTAGGGTGATGAAAGCTTCGCAAATTAACTATCCAGCTCAGAGAACACAACCACATCAAAAACTATGGCAACTCTTAGTTGGTGGTGGCAAATATTTCGGTGCTGACGAAACTTCAAAATCTCCACCTGCTGACAGGCAGTGTTTGACTGGCCTAAGTCTCAGTCTTTCCCTGGCTTCTGTTTTCATACAAAAGTAATGCTTTTCATCATGAAGACCTTCTGAAGACAAATCAAATTCCTGGATATCAATACACAGAGATAACAACTGTCCCGACATTTTATCTTACTGTTAGTACCATTGTAGGGCGTTGGCACAAAATATCAAATAGCGGAGAGGTACACTTGACACCAAAGACAAGAAATGAACCAGTATTGTGGCAAAACATGGGAGACACGAAAAGAAGGCAAAGAAACACACAATACGCAGGAAAGAAGTCGCACAACACATAGGATCTGTGCATGTCGATTTTTATATGAAGTTTTGTTTATCCTTCACGTTCCCCAGTGGAACATAGGGCTTCAAGCTAGTGGCTTGAAATTTCTGTAGCTGTGCTTATTTTACAGGATGGGGTTACTCGCCTCGTGCCCAACCTTACCTCTTCACCAGCATTATTTCTGGCTTAGCGAGGTGAAGGAGTGCGTCGGCCGGGGATCGAACCCCGGACCATGTGCATGGTCAGCGAGCGTACTAACCGCTATGCCACAGACGACACCGACATGAGGTATACATATTTAATTCAACTTAGATTTATACGTCGATTGATTGGACCAAAGTGCTCGGTCTCAGGTCGGCATGTTGGCTCATTGTGCAGGTGCTTCGACAATGTCTCGTCATGAAACTTGAAGTCACTTGGTGGCTGATGACTAGCAGTGGAATCCAGGATAACGCGCCTTTCATCCTATTCGAAACTACGGGCACTGGGTTTGAGCCCCGGTGGGAACTCCACCACTCACTGGGGAATGCAGGTACATCCAGATGATAACTCCCAAATAGGAGGAAATGCGCATTATCCGAGATTATTCCACTGCTAGTGACTACGCACCAGTTGACTTCAAGTTACATGAGGCATACACAGTCCCCCTATATGTGTGTATGTCAAATCGCTAATAAATATTCCGTCACAAGGTGTGTTATCTTCTCTCGTCACATCATTACTAAGACACTTAATCCACATACTCCTAAGGCGAAAACACGACATAAGGTTGCAAGATCATTCATGATTAGACGTTCAAAAAAAGCTCAAATCGTTCCCAGGCACAACTATGCCTCGTCGCTTTCCAGATTCCAAGATTTTTACTATTCTCTACTTAATTATTTTGTTTATTGAACAATGTATTCCTGTTCTTCGCTTTTTGGTTATCCGAACCAGCACCCTCCTACACTTACCCTTGATCTACTCTCATGGAATTGATTTGCCGATAGCTAAACTCAGGACGATTATTAATGACTACAATGACCCATAATGTTAATTAAACAAGAATTTTCAAATATGGTAGTCCCATTCTAGTAACCTATCTGAGTCTCATCCTCTGCAAGCAAACATAGAGAAGGCAGAGGTGATGGAGATACCCTATACCCAAAAACAACAACAACAACAACCAGTAGGAATCACTAGCAATGGGAAGAATTTCAAAAGGCGTCACTTCCTTCACCCATCTATCTAGGAGACACCATCTCAGCTACAGGTGCTGGCATGGATGACCATGTCAGAACCAGAATCGGGAAGGCAAGGCATACACCTTCATCACTCTGAAATCACTGTGGAAATCGTCTGCACTCCAACGAAATTCGGACCTTCAACACAAATGTGAAGTCAGTCAGCTCTTTGATATGGATGGATCAGAAACGGCTAATTACAAGAAGCAATTCCAACAGGTTGCAGACTTTTATCAATAGTTGCTGTCGTTTCATATTAGAGATCGAATGGCCAGTCAGAAAGAATTAGCAACAAAAAACGGTGGGAACGAGCCAATCAAGAATCTATTAGTGAAGACGTATGTCTAAGGGAGTGGAGATGGATCGGGGACACACTGAGAAGGCCGTTGAATGGTGTCTCGCTACAGGCCATCTGTTGAGTGGAACCTTGAATGGAAAACGACGAATTGAACTTGTGTCTGTGTGTGCATATAAATGCGACTGTACAGCTTTTGAGATGTTCAATGATCGCGCTTCTCACGGCTCCATTTGCACCTCTTCGTAACCACCAGGCAGGATAGTGTTCTTGCATCCTCTTGGTCAAAACTCGGGTCGAACGACCGATATACCTAGCTGCACACGAATTGATAAACGCACATAGAGTTTGTCGATAACAGGATCGTGTCCTTCAGGTTTTTGAACAGTGATGGTGGACTGGTAAAGGCTATTCTCAGAGATGCAGCAGGGAATGTTCTTTTCAGGGACAGTGATATATCCTTCTTTTCATCATATCGGAAGCTAAGTCACCTTTGAATTCCAAACTCATGTCTCCAGTATTGTTTCACTTGTCCCACTTGTCATTCTTAATTCTTTTTCACAACGTTAAATTCTATACCATCAAATTTCACACAATACTACGTAACGTTTTCATTTAATTCAATTCGCCTACTAATCCTACGATTGCACATCCCTTCAAAGTTCTATCCATTCCATGAATTATTCTATATATGACATTAATTGTTTTGCCACTTGACATTTAACTATGATTGTGATCACAAATATTTTAATTGCGTTTCATACTACCATTATTATTATTTTATGCATTCACTGAGACCTATAATTCAATTCCCTCCCTCACCGGATATAACTTCTTGAAGATCAGTTCTTGACATCATTCTCCATCAGCTTATACGTAAGATAAGGTCGTATCGTTCGAGAGGCCTTCGAGTAACATCTCCTGTCCATTGAGGAAGCTATTGCCAAACACAAAGGAAACCTTGAAGTGAGATATCGTGTGTGGAACAACTACAAGTTCCGATCATCTCTAGGAAATTGAATGTTGGACAGGAGGTTAATTAATATCTCCTACTTACAGATAATTAAGTAGAGTGGGTAGTATAACAAAATAATGTGGGAGAGTGCAGTTGAGTCAGCAGCAAATAACCGAGATTTATCAAATTGTCATTTCTTTTTTCGATTTATTATTTGTCACTGAAAAACACAGTTTTTAGCATTAGTTTATTTTTGAATATTTAGTAACTAATGACAAGTTGTCTCTAATGCAGATAACATTCAGAGTCATAAAATCTCAACTTACTGAAAGCAGATAAACTGAAAAGTGAGGTGTAAGCCAAAAGCTTCATGATTATGAAAAAATAAAAATGAAACAATAAATGCTGTGTCTTTGTTATGACGAATATCCTCAAAACACTTTTGATGCATACACTGTTGATTACTGTCGACTTACACTCAGTCCGTTATGATGATTACACAGAATTATACAATCACACTGTTGTAAGCCTTTATCTGCAGGACAAAGAATATATTTATATGGCTTACAGTTGTACGGATAGTGCATTTGTTCAATTTGCTTGAAAGTGGTGCATATTCTATTGGAACAGTGACAGTGATTGGCTTTCACTGAACAATTACACACTATTCGTTCATATGGTGTTGCAGGTGGGTGTTTCTGTGCTGCTGCTGCTGCTGCTGCTATTATTTTTGTTGATGACACACTTGACGCTGATTCTCTCGACTTTTGTATCTCTGTTTCGGGCAGTATTAGTAACGCTGGAGTTTGAAAAGCTGTTGTCGATGATGTCATAGTCCGTACTGATTTCGACAGTTCAGATTGTTTTGATATTGACAATGGTGGTGATGGTGGCGGTGTCGGTGTCGGTGTTGGTGTCGGTGTTTCTGATCTTGGCGGTGGTGTTGGTGGTCTCTACGATTCTCTCGGCAATGGCAATGACAATGGCAGTGGCAATGGTGGTTGTGACTGTGATAATTGTACTTTAGACTCAGTACTGTACTGTCTAGAAAACTCCTCATCTGTTCGACATTCTGCTGACGAATTTCCGATTGTTTGTTCACGCTGCATATTTGTATTCTTGTTAACAAGAGAACAACCACACATACAATAATTATTTCTTTCATTGAATTTACACTTTTGTGGACTTGATGTAGAAGCTGTAATAGTGAGTTTAACAGATGGCAGTTCACAATGTTGGATAGTTTTAGAGCTTGTAGCAGTTGTCTGATTCAGTGTAGGCTCATGTTTTGTTAGGGCATTTCGCTCAGTTGCATTATACACCGCATTCACTGGATCTAATTCATCCAGTTTTTCAACATCTGGTTGAAATAATGTATTCAAGGAAATTTTATTCTCTGCAAGTACATGTTCAGTATTATCAATTGACTGGACTATTCTTAAATTTAAAGCAGCCGGGAGGATATTTTCTTCTTTCAGCACTGCATCAGAGTCATCTGGTAATAAAGATGGAGAACAATATGTAATAGAAAGATGATGATTTCGACAGCATTCACAACATTCACGGGGATATTTTTGTATAGCAAACTGTTCAGTACCTATTGATGTTGGATAATTTTCTAGATTTTCATTTTGGTCAGTTAGGACAGGCAAATAGGGTGATTTGCTTATATCATCATCTTGTGATGACGATTGAATTTTGCACAGGTTTCCGTCAAATGGTACATCTTTACTTTTGACGAGTTCCTGATCATCCGAACTCATTTGTTGTTGTTGTGTTGATGGCGGTTGTGGTTGTTCCAGCTGCTCTTCTTGTCTTTGGTCTGAATTTCTGTTGTAATAGTCGAAATTCTCCTGAAGAAGAACATACTCTTCTAGGGATAACTTTTCAACCTCTTCAACTTCAGTTTTCACAGGTTCATGTGATTCTATGTCTCTGTGTTGTGTGGTAGTTTCAGTGACACCATGGTCTTCATCCTTGAATGACTTCCTTTTTACTTCATCTTCTTTTTTAGACAGAGATATTTCAGTAATGTTTGTGAAAGATATTGGCGAATTTCTTGACGTTTTAGCTTGATGTTTTATAGGGGTTGTATCTTTTGAAAGTGTAGCTTCACTGGAAGGCTTTGTTGAAAGTGTAGGTTTCTTAATTTTACTGTCACTAGGCGTGGTACCTTTAGTCTTGTATGGTGACTTCTTTCTTTTAAAACAGAGTAGAGAATTCCTACTTTTGTCATTTTTATTGGCATTTGGTAATGTTGCACTACTGCCGATGCTATCGTGAACATTATCATCATCATCATCATCGCCATTCATGTTTTCTGTGATGATTGTGGCTGTTGAAATTTTCAAGTTACTATCTGAAATCGATGGAATTTTATTCTGATCTGTTTTTTCCCTTTCGGATGTCACTGAAGACAGCCTAACAAGTGTAGGGGTTAATGTCACCACTGGGTCAAGTGGAACAACGGAAGTTCTTTCAATTTTAAATTCTTCTGGTAAGCCACCTGGTAAAGAGATTTGGGTTTCTGATATAATCGAACCTTGTAATGGCTGTTTTGATGAGTATTGATTGGTTTGTTTCGGTGACAGTACTGGTGTAGTTTTGTAAATATGCATGACAGACATTTTCGCATTTGGTAACATTCCCTTCACAATCTCCTTTCCCACAACCTCGTGAAGCCTAATTTCTTCAGGTGGATCAAGTGACTGTGGAGTTTCTGAAGTCCTCAGTGCATTCATATCTTCACCGAAATCTTTATGTGTTTTCCCACCACACGGTGACATTCTGCGTTTACGGGTGGACTTCTCAGATCCACTCGATGTGTCAGATTTAGGTGAGACGTCCTTTCCACGTCGCTTCTTACCTTTGCTTTCACGAGATCGACTACGATGAGATGACTTCCTGCTAATTCCCTTCTTCCCAAACTCGCTTTCCTTAATTTCTTCTTGTGGATCAAATGTCTGTGGAGCTTCTGAAGTCTTCAATGCATTCGTATCTTCACTGGAATCCTTATGTGATTTCCTTATACACGGTGACATTCTGCGTTTACGGGTGGACTTCTCAGATCCACTCGATGTGTCAGATTTAGGTGAGACGTCCTTTCCACGTCGCTTCTTACCTTTGCTTTCACGAGATCGACTAGGATGAGATGACTTCCTGCTAATTCCCTTCTTCCCAAACTCGCTTTCCTTAATTTCTTCTTGTGGATCAAATGTCTGTGGAGCTTCTGAAGTCTTCAATGCATTCGTATCTTCACTGGAATCCTTATGTGATTTCCTTATACACGATGACATTTTGCATTTACGGGTGGACTTCTCAGATCCACTCGAGGTGTCAGATCTATGGGAGACGTCCATTTTACGTCGCTTCTTATCTTTACTTTCACGAGATCGACTAGGATGAGATGACTTCCTGCTAATTCCCTTCTTCCCAAACTCGCTTTCCTTAATTTCTTCTTGTGGATCAAATGTCTGTGGAGTTTCTGAAGTCCTCAGTGCATGCATATCTTCACCGGAATCCTTATGCGACTTCCCTCCACACGGTGACATTCTGCGTTTACGGGTGGACTTCTCAGATCCACTCGAGGTGTCGGATTTAGGTGAGACGTCTTTTTTTCTACGTCGCTTTTTATCTTTAATATGTTCATGTTCTTGTGATGGAGATTGCCCGGAGTTTTGTGAGGTGATAAAGTTCACACCACTATCTTTGTCTACTGCTTTTGTTTTCAGTTCTTCCTGAAATGTCGTATGATGTGAGAAAGAGCGATTGAATTTTTTACGTGAACGACGTTTCGGTTCTTGTGACGATGAAGAGGAATCAGAATTATGGGTAGATGTTTTGCTTGGTGTCTTTCGATTATCCTCACCATGTGATGACTTCTTGCGTGTGACGAGGTATCCAAACTTTCTGCGTTTCACTGGCTTTTCTGTCCCACTTATTCCACTGCTGTCACTTGTTAATGATGACCTGTTTGAAGCCTTTTCCACACTACTTTCTTCGTTCACGGCATCACGACTCATTTCTTCTCTTTTCAGATGAAAATGTATTTTATCTGCACTGGTTTTCTGCAAGGATTGTGATGGTTTTGAGTCACTAACTTCTACAGATGCAGTTTGTCGAGATTTTCGACATCGAATTTTGCGAGTAGATTTGTCAGATTCTTTGGAAGTAGACGACTCGAGAGCATCATGTTTTGAACTCTCCTTCTTGTCTTTAGTTTTCCTTGACGAATGACGACAAGCAAAAGCATTCTTCAGCCTCTCGATTACTGATGACTTCTTTGAGATTCTTTTTACTTCGTCGTCGTCTGCAGGCACTGATGGCTGCATTTGTTCAATAGACAACTTACCATTATCATTAATTTTATTGGGCGTCCTTTGGAGTGTGCTTCCACTAGACGACTTGTGAAGTATACGCGCCTGCTTGAGTTTTCGGCTTTTCCTGTCTTTTGTTTTCATTTTTATGGAGTGATCGTGTGGTGAGTCAGCCGGAAGGCTGGACGGTGTTATTTGATCGTGTTTTGCAGCAATACGTTTGCTACTTGACCGACGTCGATGTAGACCAATCAGTGAACGTTTTCGTGGCTTTGGCGAGCTTTGCAAATCTACCATTGTATTATTTTCTCTACATTTTAGACCATCTTTCCTTTCCACTGATAACCTACTACTTCCTTCAGAAGACATCGAATGGTCATTATTTGGAAGTGATGATGCTTCCTTCCACTGACCAGCATTCTTCCAGTCAGTCGGTCTAATAGTTGGACAAGTTGAAGCAATTTTTTCTTTTCCCTTCTCTCTGATAGATATTCCTAAATTGATGGCATTTTGGTGCTTTTCACCAGTTCCTTTCTCTAGTGCATTCAATTTTGAACATGTCCTGGTATCAATGGCCACTACCACATATGTGATCTCTGGACTGTGATTATCTGATTGTTGCAGGTTATTGCGATGCTTCTTCCTCAGCTCATCGGATAGATGTACCTGTATCTGTTTGTTATACACACAATCGGATGTCTTCACTGGTCTGTAGCTTGATGGCTGTGTTCTTCTAGTCTGATCTACAGTATGCATTATGTTCACCAACGTACATCCGCCAGCATCATCACCGTCGTCTGTTTCACGTGTATAATTGACCGCATTCGACTCACTTGACTGAAGACACTCTCTTGAACAATTGAGTACAAAATCACAGTCTTCATATGACGTCCTGTGAGACTTCAATAGATACTTTGACATGTCAGAAGCGGTCAACTGGCATCATCATGGAATAAAAATGTTTCTGAATTTTTTTTCTCTGGACAATCATTACTACTATTTTTATTATTTCAAATCTATCCTTCCTTGTCCACGTGATCACAATATGCGAGAATCGATTTATTTGTAGAGGGCTGGCTTTGTTGATAAAGGCAAGTTTATTTATTTATTGTATGTGTGCATATACAGAAAGTATAAAGTGTGATGACAATGATGATAATAATAATAAAGTTAATAAATATAATTATAAGACAGCAAAAGATTTGATTGAACGTAGAAACATTTTCAATAGTTGGTTTGTAAGGATTAGATTTGCTTTGACGAGTTGATCACGGATTGTTATCAGTTAGAGAACCATTAAAAACCAGCCACAGGGAGTACTGCCAGACAGCTGTTTCATCGGCCTACTTTTGAGAATCATCGGCTGTACTCATCAACCACAGGCGGTTCGAACACAGGGCCTTCCGATTACAAAGCAAGTTCGTATACCATTCAACCACTGCGAACCAATGCAGTGGCCCATGAACTTTAACTTCTATCTGTTCTTTATTACACACGACCACCAACCAATGTCATCGGTGGGACATCTTTCCTCACTCTTGGCTAGATGGACGTCACCAGTCACGACTTCTTACTAGAACTCTAGGAAACTCTGTCCCGTAGTAAGTTACTAGCGAACACCTCAGTGGATGCGTACTGCCGATAATTCCCAAAAAACGAGGATGAAACAGCTGTCTGGCAGTACTCCCTGTGGCTGGTTTTCAACGGTTCTCTAACTGATATCAATCCGTGATCAAATTGTCAAAATAAATCTTAATTGTCAAAATGAGTGTCATTACTGTCACTGCCTTATGAGATGGCGTTTCCATTTCCACGTTTATCAATCAGAGAAGTGTAACGAGACCCTTATTCATCACCACACTGGCAATTTAAACTATTCTTTGGAATATGCCCGACGTCAGAATGGAAAAGTCCGAGATTTGAATCATTTTGATCTGACAAGGACATACAGGAGACCAATCTGAGTGATGTCTAAATACTTTTGCAACTCGATAATCAGGTAACGGGTTAGTTTTGTGTGAATTAACTATTATCATTATTAGTAATATGCATTTTTTGACTTTTAAAAGTCAATCTGAACGAAGAATATTCTTTTCAATAATTTCTCCTATTCAGGTTCTTACAATTATAAGATATAATATAATATTTGTTGTCGTTACAATAATGATAGCCAGTTATACGGCAGATACATTTTTAACGTAGAATAACGGATTAGTGGTTATGGGGTGTCAAAATAAATAGTCGTATTTGTGTGACAAACGTGCTAGTCTGAATTCGATTACAAAATATTGTAAAACGGGAGACAATAGTGGTGATTAATCATAATAGATTTGTAGATTGTGGGGTAGGAAAATTGACAAGTCAGTTCAAGGTTATAAAAGTTGTCAGGTGAGTGAGTGGAGTGGCTAGTACAAAGTTGTCTGTGTTAAACAGGAGACAGTAAGACTGTAATGGGGGAAATTAAGTGCATAAAAAGCTCGATCCTATCACACTTGGTCGACAATGGACATCATATCGATGTCAACACAGCTTTCAGGGTTGTATACCGAATTCCAAAGTCATTATCACGTACAGTTCGCTCACGTCTGCTACACATAGCTGAAGCTGTTGCAATAAGATCGACTAAACCGAAACTTGTATCCAAAAAACAGAACACGTCCAGACGCTGTTCCTACCGTGTCCAAAATTGGATTGGTTATTCTTCTTCTCACCAAGAGTTCTTCTTCCCCTTAACCCTCTTGGCTTTTTTTTGTTCCTTTGCTTATTATTACAAATATTATTAATATTCGTCATAATTTTTACCCTTCATGCAAACATTCTCTCAATACTATCGAGTTTTCCATGTATACTATCCGGACTTATTATTAGTGATATTATCTCTTTTCTCAATATATGCCTCCACCCGTTTCTTCATTTCACATATTAGTTATTTCATTATGAACCACCTCTCATTGCAGTCTTCCTTTCTCCTGTTATGTACATACCACTTTGTACTAGCC